TGTATAACTGAATCACTTTGCTGTACACCTGAAATTAACGTTTTAAGTCAACTACACTTCAATAAAAATTAAAAAAAATAAAAACGGGTAGAGGATGTGAATAAACATTTCTCAAGAGAAGATAAACATACGACCAACAAGCACATGAAAGATGTTCAACATCACTAATCATTAGGGAAACACAACAGAAAGCTGCATGAGATGCCACTTCACATTCATTAGTATGGATGCTATTTTAAAAGTTTTTTGAGTATTGGCAATTATGTGGAGGAGCTGGAAGGCTTGTGCGCTGTCAGCACACGGTGAGGTGTAAAATGGTGCACTATACAAAAGAATATGGAAGTTCCTCTAAAGTTTAAAAATATAATTCCCTTATGATCCAGGAATTCCACTTCTGGATGAATATCCAAAAGGAGTGAAAGCAGGAACTAAAACAAATATATGTGCACCCACATTCGTAGTAGCATTAATCACAATACCAAAAGGTAGAAGCAACCCAAATGCCCCTAAACAAAGTACTCGTCTCAAATCTTTGAGGATTTCCACCAACATCTTCTCTCCGAGTTGTCTGTACTTCCATTTGTTGTATCTTTTGTTTTGATCTTCCAAGCAAATTCAGTGTCCATCACTGCCAATTAGTAACTTTAAAAAGAAAAAAACCTTCTGCAAACATTTAGCAAATTAATTTTCTGAGATCTATTTGTAGTTAGGAAAAAAATGGAGAACATATATCTTAATTTTATTTAATTTTCTTCCAGTTTTTTTGAGATATAAGTGTAAGCTTAAGGTGTGCAGCATAATGACTTGACTCATATATATCATGAAAAGATTACCACAATAAGTTAAGTGAATATCCATCATCTTATAAAAATACAAAAATAAAGAGGAAAAATTATTTTCTGTGTGATGAGAACTTCTAGGATTTACTCACTTAACAAATGTCATATATAACATAGAGTAGTGTTAATTATATTAATCATGTTATGTATTACATCCTTACCACTGATTTACTTTATAACTGGAAGTTTGTACCCTTTGACCACCTGCCACCAATTCTCCTTCCCCCCCAGCCCATGCCTCTGGCAATGACAAATCTAGACACTTTTTCTATGAGTTTGTTTGTCTTTGAAGCATAATTGACCTACAATGTGATTTTAATTCTTAGTGCACAATATACTGACATGGTATTTCTATACATTATAAAGTGATCATCATGACACTCTAGTTACCACCTGTCACCATACAAAAATTACATCATTATCGACTATATTGCCCAAACTATACATTTCATACCTGTGACTAATTTATTTTGTAACTAGAAGTTTGTGCTGCTCAATCCCCCTCACATATTTTTCTTATTCCCCCTTCTCCCCCCACACTCTGGCAACTACCTGTTTGTTCTCTGCATGACTCTGTTTCTGTTTTCTTATGTTTGTTCATTTGTTTTGCTATTTAGATTCCATACATAAGTGAAATCATACAGTATTTTCTTTGTCTGACACTTCATTTAGCACTTAGTAACCTCTAGGTCCATCCATGATGTCAAAAATGGCAAGATTTTATTTTTTATAGCTGAATAATATTCCATTGTATATATATACCACATCTTCTTTATCCATTCATCTGTTGATGGACACTTGGATTGCTGTCATATCTTGGCAATTGTAAATAATACTGCAATGAACATAGGAAAGAATATATATTCTGCTGCCTGTAGATGGAATGTTCTATATTATCTACTAAGTCTATCTGGTCTAATATATTATTTAAGGCCAGTATTTTCTTGCTGATTTTCTAACTGGATGATCTGTCCATTGGTATAAGTGGATTGTTAAAGTTCCCTTAACACTAGTACTGTGTTACTGTCAATTTTTCTCTTTACGTTTGTTAATATTTGCTTTATATATTTAGGTGCTCATATGTTGGGTACATATATATTTATAATTTTATTATCTTCTTGTTGGATCAATCCCTTTATCATTATGTAATGTCCTTCTTTTTCTCTTGTTACAGTCTTCATTTTAAAGTCTGTTTTGTCTAACATAAGTATTGCTACCCCAGCTTTCTTTTGATTTTCATTTGCATGAATACTGTTTTTCATCCCCTCAGTCTCAGTCTGGGCATGTCTTTAGATTGGAAGTGAGTTTCTTGTAGGGAGGATATATATATATATATATATGCGTCTTGTTTTTGTATCCACTCAGCCACTCTGTCTTTTGATTGAGGCACTAAGTCCTAAAGTAATTATTGATAGGTATGTACTTACTGCCATTTTGTTACTTGTTTTCTGGGTTTTTTTTTCATAGTTCTTGTTTGTTCCTTTCTTCTTCTTTTCTCTCTTTTCTTGTGATTTGAAGTTTATCTTTCTTGTTGTGTTTGGATCCCTTTTTCTTTCCTGGGTGTGTGTATCTGTTATAGATTTTTGGTTTGTAGGGGAGGAAGACCACAAAGGTAAAATACCATTATCACCACATTATATCTAGGATATATATTGTTGATTACTTATCACTAATGATGTTAACCTTGGTTACCTGGCTGGGGTAATGTTTTTCAGGTTTCTCCGCTGTGCAGTTACTACTTTCTGACTCTACATACTGTGCTCTTTGAAAGGAAGTCACCATAGCAGGCCATACGTAAGGAGTATGCTTCACTTCCCTGAGGGAAGAGTATCTACATGCTTTATTTGAAATCCTTCTCCGTGGGATTTTTGTCTCATTTCTCCCATGCATGTATGTATGTATGTATGTGTGTGTGTGTATTCAGTTGTTTATTTTTATCAGTTTAGACTAATGGATATATATTCCATACTTAGAGTTATAATGCCATACTACTTTATTTTCTTGATCGAATTACTCCAGATTTGATCACTGGGAGCGCTTTCGGTATGATCCTCTTTCCCCTTGACCCCATGATTGTGAAGTTTTGTTGTTACTGCACTTTCTTATTTTCTGGCCCTATAAGATGCAACAGGCTCATCTTATGTATTTTCTTGCCCCAGACCTAGAATCAGCCATTTCTCCAAGAATTCCTGGATCTTTTTACTGGAGAATGATATTTAAAATCAACATCCAGGTGTTGACTATGCTGGTTGGTAGTGTGGTATTATTGCTTCAAGTCCCTCTCAATTTATGGAGCAAGGTGATATATGAGCTTATCTATAAATATTTACATAGTTATCCATCTGTATTAATGTAAACTATAGTTAATATTGATATCTCCAACTATAATTCATTGCTACATGAATCATTCTAGCCTTCTCCTTGTTTGCCTATAAACTTTCATTCCAACTGACTTGTCTATAACAGGTGAAAAGCCTTGCTCCTCTGGGGATTTCTTTATTCATTGATCCCATAAGTAATTTTGATTGCCTGTTATGTGTCTAGTATCACCTATTATCTGAAATAGTTAGAAAGGATTGGGCAGAGAATAAAACAAACAGAAGTTCTGCCCCTGTGAAGCTTATGTACTAGCAGTCAAATGAAGTGAACATGAAACCTCTTTAAAGGGATACATATTCAGTCCAAGCCTCAGATTTTACATTTCTCACTTGCTTGCTAGCTCAGTGATATACTTTAAAAGATTCTTTTTTTATATTCATCATGTGTTGTTTTCAGCAAGAGAGTGTTCAGAGTATGTAATCTGCCATATTGCCAGAAATCAACAATTTTTTAAGTTAATTTCTTTTGAAGCTCAGTTTATGAAATAATCCCTGGATTTCAAGATCAACACTCCACACATATTTAACTGTACTTACTCCTAGTACAATATACTAATTCTTGTGCTTTTCCTTTCTCATTTCCTTGCATGTGGCCTTTCCATTACTCTCTTGGAGGCATTCCCAATGCCTAAAAGAGAAGTAATATTATTGAAGCAAAAATAAAGAGGAAGAAAGAGTCTGTGTTGTCAAGGGGAGGGCGTGTGTGGTTTAATTCTACAATAATCTTTTGGTAATCAAAAAGGAAGTTCTTTTGGTAATCAAAAAGGAAATTCTTTAGGAACCTCGGAGATTGCATCATAATAAATGAATGGGAAAAAGAATAGGAAGAACCAAACTTCTGCTCCCTCTCTAGATCCCTGACCTTGGAGCCCTGGTAACTTGCCTGGGTTGTTGGGAAAGTGAAGGAGGATCACTTGGAGAAAAGCAGAGACAGTCCCAGGAGCCTGGCTCTCCTGGCAGCTCTAGCCAATGAAGCCAGTGGAGACTAACTATGTAGAGATCTTTGGTCCTTCAGAGGAAAAGAATTACATTAGCTGTTGTCTCCTTGCCCTGCAGTATGCCCCTCCTCTGGTCAGTTCGCTACATAATGCATGTGACCCATCCAGTGGAACACCCAACCACACCCCAAGACTTTGCTGAGGCCCATTCAAACTGCCTTGTGAGGACACCATCACCCTTTTTTCAACGGCACATGACACATGAAGCAAAACAAAGGGTGGAGCCCTGGGTACCTAAATGAACAGTGGGGATATGGGAATGAAAGTCCAGCACAAGTGTTTGGTGTGGAACTGAAGATACACACACATACATGCTGCATTTTGTGTGTGTGTGTGTGTACACATACACACTCACATACAAACATACACACATACTACTTTTTCCTTCATTTAGATATAGAGTAGAGATGCATCCAATCATCTTAAAATAAAGTAAGTAAGGAAACTTTAAACCAGTTTTGCTGCCATGTGTTATTTGGATGAGGATGAGGGTGGACTTGGAAGCTGGAACCTAGTGTTCATTCTGCACTAGACTGAGCTTACCAGGGAACAGCCACAGCTAAGACATTCTCTAGCAGATACTTCCTAAGATGGACAATAATCCACACCTTTTAGAAGCGTATTTAACTAAATAATTTATCATTGCAGGCTTTAAGGCCTATTCTTATGACAAACTACACACCAAACCTTTTAGGGAGTAGGGAGGCTTCTGGCAATGTGAGCCCTGGGATTCCGACAGCAGACCTGTCAGCAGGGCAGCCAGTTAAAACAGATGCTCCTAAAAAAAGCGACCTTCCAGGGAGAGATGTAAAATTTCGCATTCAACAAAAGCCACTCTGCTGTGGCCTCTACTTCTGCTAACCATGGACTAAAAATACCAAGTGAACATTAACAAACCCACACACCTCATCCATCTCTGTCCTCAGAGGAATGCCAGCAAACCTGCAACCATTCCAGGGAAATGTCTGACCTGACAGGGCAGAGCTCCAGGAAGCTGAGAGGATGGGACAGAGGCTTGAAAATTAGGCCAGGCAAAGATTTTTTACAGAGAAGAGATTTCATCAACAATTTTTAAAATGCCTTTTGAAATGGAAGCCTGCAAATGCTAATGACAGATGAGTATTTTAAAAGGAATCTTTATAGCACCTCTTTATCAAAAATAGAAGAAAATTTGTGGGCAATTTCAGAAGCATATTACATCCAAAGCTGTTACCTTACTAAGTGGAATGATGACTTTTTAAGGCGCTTATTTACACATAGTGAGAAACATGAGAAACTTCACTAGACACGGAGGATTAAGGAGCTCCAAAGACCCAGGGTGGACAGACCTCTAGTTGTCCGTCCTTTCCATGTCTTTCAGTATTAAATGTTCACCACACGCAATACACTCTTTCAGTAACTATCCATAGTCTTCTCTCCTGCCCTAGAACAGGGAACTTAACACATAAACAATGTGCAGTAAGAGGCATTTGTATCCAGTGTAATCGGAGAACAGAAAGTATAATTGATTCTGCAGGGCATGGACTCTGAAAAGGTTGTCAACTAACTGAAACTTCCTTTTAAACATTGGTTTCTTTTACAGAAAGTTTCACAGGCTCTTTATTTCTTTCCTGAATTGTCTTCATCTTTCATTCCCAGTTTGCCTTCTGTTAATTCCCATTGACAAGGGCTAGTTACCTCCCCTAAGAAAGTAACACCAACAGTGCCCTCAATTTATCACGTCTCGAACCATACTCTTTATCCCAGGACGACTCCTCTGATTAACCCAAGTGTGGCCCACAATCAGCACTCCCTGTATTTGTCTTAAAGACGTATCCCAAGTGTCAGGGGTGCAGATGGCTGCAAAGTACTCCACCTTCAAGAGTCATCTTCTCCTTTAAGACATAAATAAAGGAAGCAGAATAGCTATTTCACATACAGTGGAAAATCCAAAATCTCCAAAGATTCAAGGGAGAGGATATCTTAACTTTCCTTCTTTCTTTTTTTGAAGTATAGTTGATCTACAATGTTGTGTTAGTTTCTGGTGTACAGCATAGTGACTCAATTATACCTATATACATATTCTTTTTCACTATAGGTTATTGCAAGATATTGAATATAGTTCCCTGTGCTATACAGTAAGTCCTTGTTGTTTATCTATTTTATATATAGTTGTTTGTATCTGCTAACCCCAAATTCCTAATTTATCCCTTCTACCCTTCCCCTTTGGTAACCATGTTTGTTTTTTATGTCTGTGGATCTCTTTCTGTTTTGTAAATAAGCTCAGTTGTATCATTTTTTTAGACTCCACATATAATTGATATCATATGACATTTGTCTTTCTCTGTCTGACTCACTTCACTTAATATGATCTTCTCTAGGATCTTAACATTTTCCCAGCCACCTTTAGTGCCTGTCTGCTGCTCAGTTCTTGAACCCTTCTGCATCTTATCTCATTTCACATGACCGTCTCCCTCACCTGTTTACTGGCCAGCAGATGTTTCCCTGCTTCTTGAAGTCCCTACCATGCCACCAAAAGTGTGAGTACAAAAGGAATCATCTCAGTGTAGCTCTGCAGTCAGCCTAAAATCTAAACTAGCCCTACTGGTTCTTAAAAGTTTCTTCTACATGAATGACTGAAAAATTGTGCTGAACACTGGAATTTGACACAACACTGTAAAATGATTATGAATCAATAAAAAATGTAAAAGAAAAAAAAAAGTTTCTTCTGGGTTCCTGCCACTAGGAACAACAATTTCTCCACCTCCCTGATGCCTCAAGGTTTCCTGGGAAAGAATGAAGCTGCAGGGAGACTGAAGCCTACACTATTTCCAGGACCCTTTTTAGGATGAGTATTACAAAATTATGGATACAAAACTAGATACAGGACCTTGGAAAGTGCCATGCAAATGAGCCTAAGCTTCACCAGCTTCCCTGTCTCCACATTGCTCTGACATTGACTTTCTTCCTCGTACCCAACAGCCCCCAACTCTTCAATCTGTGATGTTTTCCTTATGAAGAACCAAGAGGGATCAGCTTTCATAACCAGAAAATGATAGAATATACTTTGCAAAATAACGTAATTTTCTCTCCAAATATTTCAGAGCCTACAGCTTCTAAATGAGCATGCTGAACTTCTGTTGTACTTAGCTAGCATATGCATTTTGAGTTCCAGATTCCTTCTCCCTTTATCTACTTAGAAGTCACCCTTTCCCTCCACATGTGTCTACCACAACCATTCTAGCCAAGACATATAATTTCAGATTTCACTGAGAACATAGCTCCCTTAAGTTGAAGGAGCTGGGATGTATTGCTAGCTGAGATATGACAGTTCCTGCTCAGGGGTGTGAGTAAACTTAGTGACAACTGATGTGTGCTCCAGTCTTTGGTTGAATAGGGAGGAGCACTTATAGAAGAGAGGCCCAGCCCTCTTCTGTGAAATACGAAGTAGAAGGGACAGCATGACCTATTCAGCCAATTCTAGAAGCATTTTTCAAAATCCTGTATTTCAGGGCAGAAGCTGAGCTTCAAATGGTGGGGAGAGGTGGGAGCTATCTATCAGGCTATGTGCTAAGGAGACTTTGAGGGAAATCTATGTCGAAAGGCAGGTAAGTTGCTCCCAGCAAAGCTAGGCCTGATAAAATCTCATGAAGTGGGGTCCTTGATCTGTATCTTATTGGTGATGCTAACAAAGGATAAATAGGGAGTTTGAGGTTTGCAGATACTAGCTACTATATATAAAATAGATAAACAACAAGTTTCTTTTGTATAGCACAGGAAACTATATTTAATATTTTGTAGTAACCTATAATAAAAAAGAATATGAAAACAAATAGATGTATATATATATAATTGAAACATCATGCTGTACACCGGAAATTGATGCAACATTGTAAACTGACTGTACTTTGATAAAAAAAAGAGAACAATAACAAAAATAGCTGCCAATTACTGAGAACTTATTTCCAGCAGGAACTGTGCTAAGTGTGTTGGATAATAACACTACAAATGACTCTTGCCCAACAAGGATTTGAATTGCATGGGTCCACGTAGACAAAGATTTTTTTCAATAATGAATACCACTGTGTGGCATGATCCACAGTTGGTTGAATCCCCAGATACAGAACCGCGGGTGTGGAGGGCTGACTGTACGGATCTTCAGGAGCATCCCTAACCTCCATGTTGCTCTGAGGTCAACTGTAATTCTCATACCAGTTCTGAAAGGGAGATGTCACAATCCTCCATTTTACAGGAAGGAGACAGACCCAGGATCTGAAGTGATGCAGCTGATGGTGTAACTTACAGATTTAGAGTCAACTTCCTGACTATTTTAGAGCGGTGGGAGTGGGGGAGGTCAGCAGACTTCTCCTGTAAAGAGCCAAACAGGCAATACTTTTGGTTTCATGGGCCATACTGCCTTTGCTCACTACTCAGCCCTGAGGCTATGGTGTGAAAGTAGCCAGAAACAGATGGATGTGGCTGTGTTCCAATTAAATTTTCTTTACCAAAATAATCTGCGTAGTTTGCCAACCCCCAACTAGAAGAATGCTTTCACCAGGTTTTCTTAAAGAGATTAGACTAAGAGAGCCATTATTTGATCTAACAGAGAAACCCCAATGGATGCAGAGGGCTTAAATAGATAAGGAGGCAAGATAGCATTGTGGCTAATAATCTTGGCTCTGGGGTCAGACTGCTGAGCTTTGAATTTCAGCTCAGACACTTGTTAGCTATGTGGCTTTGGGTAAGAACTTCACCTGAGCCTCAATTTTCTCATCTGCACAATGGAATAGTAATAATACCTACTTCATAGGGTTGTGAGAAATAAATTTTAAAAATCAATGTAATATCTTAGTGCAATGCTGGCTTATTATAAGCACTCAATAAATATTAATTAGTTGGGTGCTCAAGGGTACTTTCCCAGGTGTTTTGGCTTTTTTTGGCTAAATCCTCATAGCTAGGAACCCAAGTGGTATGTCCCTACACTCTCTGAAGACATCTGCTCTTTACAACTTCCAAGCAGTTTATTCAAAGAGAGCAAACCCAGTGCTGAGACCATCACTCCATCTAGGCTCCATTAAAGCAAACTCGGCCTGCAAAAGGAGGGCTGTTGAGAACGGAACGCTTGGAGGTAGAGTGGGGAGGTAATGTGGGGGCCCTCTTCTCTTCACCTAAGCCAAGTAAGGAAAAACTTCCAGAACAGCTATTAGAAATGGAAGAGGAGACGGGTATCTCCCCTGTTCACTAAACCACAGAAGTGCAAGTCCAGGTGCTTCCATGAGAAAGAAGGGGAGCACGTTGAGGGAAATAGTGGGGGGGGGGGGGAAATGACATAGATACCTTTGAATGTATGGATTACAAGAACATAGAGGTTGATGCTGGTTTCCACATGCAGCATGTTGAAAGGCAGAAGAAATGCTGGTGTATTCTAGGAGAGGAGAGCAAAAAGAGAAGGGTCAGCAATTAGGCAAAGTCCAGTCCCACCACTCAGTGATACAGGGTGCATGAATTTCCCATGGGTCAGTTGTAGCCAAAACATATCCAAGCATGAGCTGCTGTACATGGGCCCTATTCAGAAGTGCCAGCACTGGAATGGAGGCAGTTTACCAGGTGGTCAGGGGGTAAATCTGAAGGGTTTCAATTGTCACCTAGATATACTCTGTCTGCATCAAGGAGTGATGGAAAACACTGACAGTCCCATCACTACAGCTTCAGGAGGGTATGACTCTGCACCTTTTTTTTCAATTCTTCTTCCCTCTGCCCTAACCCTGGAGAAGACAGGGCAGGAAAGTTTACAAGGATTAAAGAGTGAACAAAAAGAGACCATGCCCCTTCCTCCTCATAGAAATCCCCAAACCAAAGGTCATTATTCCATTACTGGGGAGGGAGGCAAGTTTTTAATTGGATATGAGATTGAAATTTTGATTTTTCTACATTTTTTAAGGTCTGAAAGTCAGAGTCACCAAAAATGACCATTTTTCTAAGAACTGAAGTCAACGGAAAATATGTGAGAGCTGTCAAAAATGACATCCAAAGTATAGAAGGGAGATCAGAAACAAAATGTTTAAAGGAAGACATGGGAACAAACTAAACCCTTTTTTGTTTGTGAGCCTGATGACTTCAGCCCACTTAATAAACTGGTTGCATTTTCTATTATTATTATTATTATTATTATTATTATTATTATTATTATGACTGGACATGTGCATGTACATGAAAGTAGAGAATAAAATGTGTAGAAACAGTAAGGGGATATTTAAGCTGAGGTGTGTCCAACGTGTGGAATAGACAAGGGGTAAAGGGAAGTGATGTGAGCTCGAGCAAGGGAAATATACACTCACTGAGTAAGAAGACAGATCGTGGATCTGCAGGGGCACATGGATGCTCTCAGGCACACCAGTGGAGACTGTTTTCCCCACTGTCTTAAAGCAAAAGCTGTATTATCCATAGGAGAGGAGGATGGGCAGATCACAGATGTCTACCACTAAGAGCAAGCTCTTTGGCTGTGATTTTTCATACATAGAATCAACCCAGAGAAAATAGACAAGAAGCCTACTAAATGTTTAAGAAACTATGGTGGCAGGGCACCCCAGGCCTGGTGGACAAGCCTTGTGAGTACTTAACACATAAAGCAAAACCAGGGTCCCTAAACTTGTACCATTGGGAGGGGCTAAAAAAGATGTGCAGTCTCCAAGTGGGGCATCTTTCCTGTGTTCACGGAGGAGAACGAATAATGAGAATCCTCCCCAGGGGCACAGAGAGGGGCTGCCAGTTTGGTTAACCAAGAAGTAGAGCCCCTTTCAAGACAGACAGTCTTTGCCATTCTGCACCAGCATGATTTGGTGTTGCCTGTGGGCCAGACACAGCTCTTTGCTCACTGTTTCCATCACCGTATATTGTGCATGTTGAAGGCAGATAATTTTGGTTTATGGGTCACTAGGGCATGAGCTCCATTCAGAGGACACTATGTCACAGCAGGTTTCTGAACTTGGAGCTGGATATGGTAACTGGATGAGACTGAGTGTGGTCTCCATTGGGAAAGGGAGAATGTGTTCGCTGATAGGGAAGAAAGACCAGAGAGAATGCTGGGGAGCCAGGGGATGGGCAGATATTTTGGATTATCTACCTTAAGTCTATTCCCTGTGCCCTTCCCCTGGACCTCCTCTATTACTAAGGCTGAAAAGCAAAATACCCACCTTCCCAGACATGCTTGCAGCTTGAGGTGATTGAGTGACCCAGAACTGGCCAACGAGGTGTAAAAGGAAGTTACCCATGAGACTTCTAGGAAGTATTTTTTTTTTAATTGAAGTATGGTTGATTTACAATGTTGTGGTAGTTTCTGGTGTACAGCATAGTGATTCAGTCATATATATGTATATATATGTATACAATCACACACACACACACACACACACATATATATACTTTTTCAGATTTTTTTCTATTATAGGTTGTTACAGGATATTGAATATAGTTCCCAAGCTCTACAATAGGTCCTTGTTGTTTCTTGATTGTCTTTTAAGGAATGAATTTGGTCGCCATTCTCTTTAGCCCTTCCTCCTTTTTTGCTGACCCCTTCTTTTCTCTTCTTGCCTAGACTAGGTGGACAATCCCTGGAGGTGCAGCAGCCATTCTACAATAGTGAAGATGGAATTTAAGAATAGAGGAAAAGAGAGATAGAAGGAACCACTTTGACGTCACTGAGCAGCTGCCCCAGATCCTCACATCTTCTTATGTGAGAAAACCAGACCTCCATCTGGTGAAACTACTGTGATTGAATTTTCTGCCATTCAGATTTGAATTAATTCATGTGATAAAATGCTCTACAGCAGTAAAGCACATGTTGTAGAAAGGAGAGTATTTATCAAAGCGCTAATAGATTTTTAATTTAAAAAAAGCCCTAAGATCAAACAATTTGGGAAACACCAAGTTTAACCTGATTAAACAACTTGTTTTATCTAAGGAGGTAGAGCACAGTTTTGATCAAGCTTAACCACAGGGCTCCATTTCAATATCTAGCTCAGTGCCTTAGTTTTACTAGAATGAAGTTTGAGAAATTTTGTTGCATAAAAGATTAATAATACAGGAAATAGTTAATGACATTGCTAAGTGAAAAAAACAGTTTATAGTTTATATATTTCTGTTCTCTAAAGTTATGTCTAGTGAATAATTTTACCTCTCTATCATCTTGTTTTCCTTTTTCAAACTCCCTCAATAAATTCCAACTAAAACACATTATTTCTACAATCAGAAAAACACAATACTTTTTCCTGGTTGCTTTCTGTGTACTTGTGTGGAGTGAATGGAAGGAAGAGTGTTAAGCTCTCCTGCTCTGTAATAAGTAACAGATCTGCATTCCTGCAAATTACCCACCTGGATAACATGACTCTTCTCAGGTTGCCTCACAGTTCAAGAAAATACTCTGTTGGCTTTAAAACCTGCTGACTGAGCACATGACCAGCGGGGAAAGAGGGCACATGAGGAAGCAAGGGGAGGGGCCCAGATCAGACTGGGGGAGGGTTCTGAGGAGAAGATAGAAACTCAACAGTTAAAGGATAATCTAAAGAACCCCTCCCATGAGTTCCAACTGGACAAGCGCCTAGTGAGTGTGTGCTCTTCCAGTTCCTTCAAAATAATAAACATGCATTAAAGAATAAACTAAAGAAAATTAAAATCACCAGAATATGATTCCTTTACATGTATTTCAAAGTATAAAGTTGCAATTAGGTCAAAAATATTTTGCCACAAAAAACAGCAATTATTTGTAATTTATTTTGACAAAGATTGCTTTTCTAGGCTTTTTTGGTGAGTGCAAAAAGAAAAATATCAATTATCAAATCATTTTTCTCTGAGGGATACTAGAAACTGAAATGGGATAGGAGAAGTATATGGAAATAATATATGAATAACAATTTCCTCATTTTGATAGTGGTCTTGTGGTGGTATTTTTAAGAACTACCCACTAACATATTTGGGCATGATGGGACATTAGTTTGGAAATTTCTTCTGAAAAGGTTCAACATTTTCCTTGCAATTTTTCTGTAAGTTTGTGAAGATTTCAGAATATAAAATCTGAACTTTTTAAATGATGGTAAAGGAAACAAATATACTAAATTTCACTCTTCACTATTTTATTCCTCTCTCTAAACTGCATTGCTGTGGAAAGGCATTCTCTCAATATAGTTCTTCCTAATGAGTCCTTGACAGCATCTGTATTTCTACTTGGAGGCTGAAAATAGTTTATTTAAATAAATATAAATACAATAAAAATATTGTATACTGAAAAAATAGTGAAGATGACTTTATATTTTTAATATTTCCTTTGTATTTTCCAAGACATTTTCACATACCTTACATCACAGGGTTCTCATCAGATCAGCAGGTAACTTGGAGAAACTGAAAAGGACAGGCTGCAGACAGACTAGAGACAAAGTGGACTGTGACTCCAGCCCCGCCAGTTCTAGCCATGGGACCTGGGGAACATTAACCAAGTTCTCTGCCCCTCTGCTCCATTATCTGAACCTCCTTCATAGTAAATTTACTGTTTACAAAAATTACGCCTCCAATTTTGAAGATTTAATGAGGTATAAATCATAACCCAGGATCGTCCATTCGTTCAGCTGACAGTCTTGGTTCACCTGCCAACTTCCAGGCACAAGTGGTGTAGCCGTGACCCACAGATACAGTCCCTGCTGTCACAGATTTCACAGTCTGGTGGAAGCAGAGACAGAGAGGACGATCAAACGGTGATGTCACAGAGTAACCGGGAGTAAGGTACAGTGTCTTTAGGTATATCCAGTCACAGGAGGCTTCTCCCAGAAGAGCGGAAACTTCAGTAATGTGAAGCATCCCTGCTAAGATCTGGACAAACTCTGCTCCATAGTCACCCACCAAAGACAGCCGTCAGAGGGGCAAGACTGCTCTGTGGAAATACAGCACTGCCTACCACGGGGCCAGCGCGCTGTGATCCCCACGACAGGCCTCAGGGGTTGTGAGACAGCACAACCTGCCTGTGAAGCCAGGCTTCTCCCATATAGAGAGGTGGTTAATCATGAGGCGTCGGCTCACTCAACTCTGGAGGTAAAGAAGTCCCTCAGTCTGCTGCCTACAAGCTGAAGACTCCAAAACACAGTGGTGTAATTCAGTCTGAATCTGAAGGCCTGGGAATCAACGAAGCTGGTGATGTGAATCTCAGTCTGAGATGACGTCCCAGCTCAACAGTGAGGCAGGAAAAAAGGGGGCAAATTCCTCCTTCCTCCACTTTTTGTTTCATTCAGCCCCTCAATGAATTGGGTGATGTCCACCCATGTTGAGGTGGAGGGGAATCTCCTGGGGGAGGGGGCGTTCTACTGAGTCCACCAGTTCAAATGCTGATCTCGTCTGGGAACATTCTCAGAGACACACCCAGAAACAGTGTTTAATCTGGGCACCCAATGACCCACTCAAGTAGACACGTAAAATAAACCATCACGTCCCTCGAAACCTGTTCTTGTGGAACACGCCTGGAGAAACCATATCAGGGTGAACACATGTGCCCTATGCACCCCACCCTCTAACTCAAAGAGAAGAGATTCGGCCAAAGCACACCCTTAGGCTTCTTGGGGGTATTTTTACAGCTGGTTTAGTATTCTGTGTGTGTGTGTGTGTGTGTACTATGGAATTTTTTATTTCATATCATATTTTATGAGAATATTACTCCTGAAAACAGCTCTTCCCTGTTTTCCTAATTCAAACATTACACTCCCATTTAAAGACTACATTAGGGCATTTATCCCCAAGTGTGATTAAGGAGCTAAGAAAAGAGCAAACGAAGCCCTTGTGAAAACATATAGGCAGACTACATTACCCTTGAATCGCCCTGATTCATGTAAGAAGCAAGACAGTAAAGAGAAGAGACGTTATTCCAACTCTAAAACCTTCAACTGCCTATCCTAACAGTCATGGATTATCCACAATCCGTGGACTATTGGTTTTATTGCCATTTATTTTGAATGTTCACATCCAGAGCATTTTTATCGCTTGATTAATGTTTCAAAATTGCTTAATTAAAGAAGTTTTCATGACTCAAAAATGGAAAACTCCTGAATTAGAAAGCCTCATTTGCATTTTATGTGTCTGTCTCTTGGTGCTGTAAATGATTTCTCAAGTCGACATTAACATTCCAAGCTTAGACTGCTCTCAGAGAATTCTGAAATGCTTTCTATATTTGGTAGAACTGCTTCAGAGACCAAAATATGCCCATTTAATTTTAAGAAAACATACCATGCTTTACATGTAATTCTAGCTCCCTTTTCCCTTCAGATTTTCTTCCACAGAAGAAAAAAAAATGTTCTCCAACTATTGTTGACAAAGGCCATTTGGCCTCTGACCAAAAAAATCTCCCAAAGGTTTGTGGCTTCCTAGGAAAATGAGGCATCAGTCACAGACAGCGTGGTTCAGAAAGCTGGGCACACAGAGCACCCCCAAGATTCTTACCCTCTCCCTCCCCATTGATCTTCATTCTTAAGAAGCATTCAAGGACACAGCAGTGTCAGGTAAATATTCCAAAATTAACTAAATGTGCAAAGATTGCTAATTTTCTCCCAATATCATCCCCTGCTTCTTCCTTTTTGCTCCTTAGTACTGGCTGAGTGAAAGCCTGCCCATCTGTAGGCAACATCTCCCATCGAAGTGGGGTCCTGTAGCCACGTGCTGGCAAGTCGGGTGTGAGCGCAGATTATTCCTCCAAGGAACCTGCGTGCCTCCACTACTCTTTACTATGGTCTTTGGACATAACAGCTTTGGCCACGCAGATGAAGACAAATTCCTCAGGGGTAGTAAAGCCATGATATAAAGAATCCCAGCTCCTTGAATGACATCATGGAGCAAAGCCACCTACTTCTGGGGTGTTACAGGAGAGAAAATAAACCTCTATATTGTCTGAGCCACTGTATTGTTGAGTTTCTTTTTGACAGGAGTTCAATTTTTGTCCCGACTAACACCTAAGCAGCTAATTCAACATATATTCCACCACTTGCGTTCTTCGTGCCACTGTACTATGCTCCGTGGGGAATAAAAAAAGACAAAGCTTGGTTCTTGCCGTCAAGAAGCTTAAAAACTAGTAGAAAAAGATATGGACAGAAGGGACTACAAAGCAAGGGAGGACACACCAGTTCCTCGGGGAAGGAAGGGAGCACTGTGTCCTACCAGCCTCTCACACTGACACCCATGGCATTTCCTGATCACCCAGATATGGAATCGTGAGCTCTCCTCCTCCTAAAATAAGAACAGTGAAGTATATTTTCACTCCTATTTCCTGCCTGTTTTGTATTCTTTCTTCCACCACCAGGTTCCCACTCTTCATGTTGCTACAAGCCTCCCTTGCAAAGCCCCATCAGTTTTGGATGGTACCCTATGTCCACCTTCCCATCAAAATATGTGTGTCCAGCATCCTTGGTCCTCAGGACCCTATTGTCTGGATGGCTTTGAAGTCAGTTTGAGCTCAAGTGTTAAAGGGGTAGTGAGTTGCTTTTTCTCTAATAACAATAGCTAATTTGTAAACATTTACTATGTACCAGGTACTATTCTAAGTTCTTTATATGTAACTCCATAAGATTCCCATGAGGAAGGTACTGTTAGTAAGGAAACTGAGGCTCAGAGAGATTCAGCAACTTACCTAAACTCACAGCAAGTAAGTGGTCCACCTTCGAATCCAGGTAGTCTGATTCCTGAGCTTCTAGACCCTGTGCCCTTAACCACCATGCTGCACAACTTTCAGAGTTTAATCTTTCACCTTTGGAAAATAAGAGCTTTGAGTGCTAAGTGGTGTGATCACAAAAGTTGAAGGTGCTTTGGCAGGACCATGAGGAAGGAGAATTTGGAGTAAAAAAAACAATCCCCACATCAGACCTTATAGACAAGAACCTATCAATTTTGTGTCAGATAAGCCCACTGCCCTCTTCATGAGATTAAATGAAGACTCCTAAGAAGATAAAAGATAGCTTCTGTGATCTCAAGGGCTTACTACCTGAAAGACACCTGCAGCGTTTCCGTCTGTTCTGTGACGGTTGGTGATTCTTTTGGAAATGAGAGGGCGCCTATGAACAGGAAGAGAATCTATCTGGGTACGGTTCTACAGGACGGCAGTATTTCCCCAAGTGAGGAGTGCTGTGTTCACCCCCTCTTCACTCCACCGGTGAGGGAAGGATCCCCTCCGAGGATCATGGAGATGGCTGGATGCAGGACGTAGGACACTGGAGAGAAGAGATCACAGCAGCTTACTAGTCACATATTCTCAGCCTGGGGGAGGAGAACGTAGCACGCAAACCTGGAGCTGTTCACCTGGGAACAGAGTGAACCAGCAGGGCTTGTGGGAGGCCGAAGCAAGAGGGCAAGGTTCCTGCGGAAGATGTGATTGGCTCGCTGTCATAATCCCAGAGGCAGGCAGGGAACTGAAGCCTGCCAGTGAGGCATAAGCAGGCCCTGTGCCTCGTCACTGTGACTTGGAGGGTGGTTTGGCCAGGGGACTTTATCCACAGAATGAGGGGCCGGGGAGCTTTTGGTCAGACCATTCAAATGTCGAAGCAGCACATGACAGGAAATCTCAATTTCCGACCTTAGACCACAAGAAGGGAGGGGCGCCACGGTGGGTAGTGAGATGGCTCAGATGCAGGTGGCTTAGACACAGGCTCATAATCACACTGAATCTTTGGGTGAGAAAGCTACTCCCTTCTCAGGTCTCATTCCATCTCAGATTTTGTCAGGGAGGAAATCTGGACTTAGTGCCAATGTGCCTTTACCACCTCTCTCGCACTTGCTAATTTCTCTTTCCAACAATAGCCAGGCAACCCCCTACCTGTTCCTTGGGCAGCTAACACTGTCCAGCCAGCAGTAAGAAATGCCATCTTCTTTTCATTGCATTCACTTGTTGTTTACCTTCCACTTCTAGTGGGTGAAACTGATTTTCCAGTGATGCCACAGAGGTGCCTTTTAAAATAAATATAAATTAAAAATGCAAGTATTAAAGGAATTTTGAATAGATGATACTATAGACAATAGTACACACAGAAGTAGTATCATTAAACAAAGAAATTATTAACATTTGGAAACTACTTCTGTAAGGGATATGAATTTCCTGGTTCATCCACTCTGGATGGAGAGCTAACAACACTTAATATTAATTGAATTCATCAAGGCTGGGTAATAACAGTGATCTGAGGAAGTTCTTTTAAATTCCAGACACTTGAAGAATGAAAACCATACAAAAAAAAGTTTAGTTGCAAAGACTAGAACCCCCACTATGGAATCAATTATATACAGTTTTCCAACGAGCAAATAAACACACACAGCAGTTCAAGTAATGATATTAACTGATGGTAACATCCCAGAATAGAAATGAAGACTAATGTGGAGTAACAGAGGTCATGTCTCTCTGGTTCTAATCCTGTTGGCCTTAAGGCTACACTCTTACTTCTTTGTCATATGTTTTATGTACTCTTTTCCTTGTTTCTGAAATGCCATTGCAAAGTACACAGAAAAGCAGAACTTTGCAGTGAGACAGACCTGTGTTCAAATTCTGACTCTGCTACCGTCTTGTTGAGTGACTTGGGCAAATTACTTAGTGTCTCTGCACACAACTTCCTCATCTATAAAGTGAAGATTATTTGAAAAGATGTTAGAATTAATTCTTGAAAAGGGTCTAAAAGGGTGCCAAGTCCCTGAGAGCTGGCAAATGCAGACAATTGCTCACAGTTTGGGATTAAAACATATTGCTTCTCTGCCTGGAGTTCATATGACATCAAGTGTTTCATGCTCTATATTTCTCTTATCTGCTGTTGCAGAAACCTAACATCCAAAGACCATGTAAAAAGGCATCTCCTCCTTTTCCAGTGCTTCCCAGTGAAATGCCTCATAGAAGAATGCCTGCTCCAGGCAATAAGAAGGGTCCTGTCAACCAGCCTTTTTAAAGATAAGTCTCTCTCATGGGTTTTTTTATCCAGTACAAGCAAGGTGCC